TTTTATCTGCGGTTCCTATATTCGCATAAATTAGACTGAGGCCTTAAAGTGCTAATATACTAATAGGACTTTAGTATATTAGCTCTTTATTTTCCTCCTTTGCACTTTCCAGATATACAAAGAGACAAGAATTGCTCTTATATCCAAAAATATAAGCTTTATTAAGACACTAAGGTTTCGTATGAAAATAAGACAGAAGAACTTAATTTAACATTCTTTTTTGAACTTTTCAATACCGTTATAATAGGAGCTTGTTTTAATGCATAAAATAAAAACTGATTAATTAACCAAATTTATAAATAACATTCACCTTGATATGGGTATGAAATGAAAACGTCAAAAATTCTTTTGAATGTAGCACATTTTAAAAAGCTGGTGGCATATTGATGCGAATAGAACATAACGAAGAACTTTCCTATGTCCTGCATGAAACATATGCTTGAGATTTTGAGCTAAGCTCCAGTATGGTATCTCTCTATGGGGTATCCTATTGCTTTCATATCTTAGCATAAAACATATTTTCCTTCAAAATCTATAGGAACCTCATTTGCATTTTATAGCTGAATGAAAAATCATCTGCTGCAATTTATGAATGAATAGAAATTAGGTACCTCATCGATAGTTCATAAGCACTACTACATATTTTCGAGAAAGTTACTTTCTAATAAAAGCTGATCGTATGTACAGTATTATTAGAAAATACTTACACTGCGAAAAAAATAGGACAGTTCTGTATCTCCCGTTCTACTGCGATTGACGAAATTGAAGTTGCGTGTTTCATGTCTCGAAAGTCCGACTTAGGATATATATTAGATTTATGTATAGTATTGTTCTAATATAGGTATTTTTGATATAAAATCGGACTTTTCTGAAATGACACGCGATTCTACGACTCAAATTATGCCTAATTATTAAATTTTGTAAAATTTGGTGAAAAATTTACGGAGAAATTAAAAAATCTTGACTCATTTTTTCAGTTTGCGCCAAAAATAATTCCCTTGGCGAGTTTCTTAATTTATAGCAACCTATTTTCCTTTTCTTTTTTCATTGTTAACGAGCGAGAAAAAAGTAATCGTTCATTATTTCAAATAATTTTAAGCAAGTGTGTAAACCACATTTGGCGTTATTATCACTTATAACAAATATGCCAAATTTCAAAACGCGCCAATATGTAAATTCACGTATATCCTAAGAAATTTTGAATAAAAAACTCTAATTCTTTACAGATATGCCTAGAAATACATCTACTTTAAGATGATGGTAAAAATTTAGGTTGTAATTCAAAATTTATAAAAATTATTTATAAATACAAATTTAAAAAATAAATCATAAAAAATGGGCGAATTTTATTTGGAATGAAACTAAATTTCGAATTTTGGAAGAAGGAATCAAGCAAGTTTAATATAAGAGATATTAATAAATATAGTATATCAAATTCAATTAACATTGAGGAGGTAACATTTTGAGAACTAATTTTTTCTAAAAACTACTCGAGCGATTTTTACAAAACTTGGCAGTTTGGCATAATTTGAGTCGTAGAATCGAACATAATTGGCATGTCATTTCAGAAAAAGTCCGATTTTGTATCAAAATACCTATATTAGAACAATGCTATATATAAAGCTAATGCATATCCTAGGCTATATATAAATCTAATGCATATCCTAAATCACGCTTTCGAGGCATGTAAAACGCAACTTGAATTTCGTCAATCGGTCCAATAGAACGGGAGATATAGAACTGTCCCCCCTTTTTTTTGCGCGGTGTACATTAAATTTAGTGTCATACTTTTTCTTACCATTGGTAACTATCGAAAAACATATGAGTAGGAAGTTTCATCGCATGCGCTCTATCAAAAAGACAGAAATCTTATCCATAAAAAAGATCTCATGAATTCCATTAACCACTTCCCAATCCTACAAAATTCAGGTAGTTGATCCTTTTTTCCTCTTCCAAAGTTTTGCATCTGAAACGGGCCTTAGAAACATTTCTATCCCCAGGTGTCAAGACGTATTTAGGAAACGTAGTTCTAAATAGCTCATCTCAACCTCCACTTTGAGATGAAATGAAATATTAATTGGCTGGAGTATTAATTCATTTAAGCTAAAACTACGATTTTTGGATTTATAAACCATGTAATTTGATATTCGTTTTTAAAACTTTTTAGTTTTACTTCTACACTGCTGACCATTAAAATTGCAACACCATGAAGGAAAGCAAATACAAAAAAGATATTTAATGTACGTAAACAATATGACATGAAACAAAATGATTTAATTTCTAAGCAGTTAAGGGGTTTACAGGGGTGCGAAATTAGTAGGGTACATAGGGCGAAATAATTAGAGTAGTAGGGCGAAATTAGTAATTTACAGGGGTAGCTGACAGGGGTAGCTGGCCATCCCTGGCAGCTAAAAGGGCCCTTATCCGGTTAGGCATGGAGTCGAAATGAGCTTGGATGACAGAAACGGGCAATTCATTCCATGCTGCTTCAAGTCTATGCCACACTTCATCAACCGTATCAGCAGAAGAGGGATGGCGGGTCAGTCTCTCGGCAACCCCATGACGAGATGTTTTCAGTGGGTGACAGATCTTTACCGTGCGTGGAGGCCGTACTGGCCAGGGAAGCAATCGAATACTGTATGTATCGAGGAAGGTCAGAACACGACGTGCAACATGTTGTCTTGCAGGAAGATGGCGTTTGGCAGGCCTCGAAGATAGAGCACAATCACTGGATGTAAGATGTCAGAAATGCACCGATCTGCGTTCAAACTGCCGTCGATCCGAACTAGAGATATGCGTATCCTGTACTCAATGGCTTCCCAAACAACCACACCAAGTGCAGGTCCCCTATGACGATATCAAACGGAAGCAGGCGATGTGAGGTCTCCTCGGTGCCTCCAGACACGTATACGGCCATCAGATTACTGCACGCAGAACAGGGACTCGACAAGACGTCATTTTGCCACACCTATATCCAGCTTTGTCGTTCGGCTCACGAGAGTCGCCATCTCTCTCGCTGCTGCATTGTCAAGGAAAGCCGAATTAATAGTCGCCTTGCTGATAGTCCATGTTGCTGCAAAGGTCGACGCACGGTACGAGCGGATACTGGGCGTGCTGGAAACATGCCTGTTTCTTGACTAATGGTCCGTAATGTGGTTGTACGATTTTACAGGGCTGACCTCACAATATGTCTGTCCTCTCGGGCGTTATTCATGGGAGGGCGTTGATATCCTGCATGCCGTTCAGTATGACCCTCTGCAAACGAGTGATTCCGTATTCGCATGACAGTGGTTGGATGTCGACCAGTGCGACGGGTGATACACGGAACGATAATCCACACTTTCGAGAGGCAACGATCCTGCCACTATCGAATTCCGACACTTGCTGGTAAGCATTACTTCTTCATATTCGAGGCATAACACGATTTTCTGAGCAAACTCCGACTTTACAAAGCGCTTTCCGAGTGAGAAATCCACTACGCAACTTTTCTTTTATGCAGTGTTTCAGATGTCGTTTCTCTCGCCTGCGTCGTCTAAATGCGTTGAAATGCTAATCATTTGCATATCCCAACCTCTTTTTCCTTTCATGTGATTTTGACGTTCGTCAGATCATTCCTTCCCGGTGTTGCAGTTTTAAAGGCCAGCAGTGTGCAATGTAAGTTTTTCTAATGATTTTTAATGAGTTTTATCAATTTTGAATTCGTAGTTTACGTTAACTCAATTTAGGCTTTGCTGCTATATAGGCAAAATTATATAAATGTTCAGTTTTTTATCATTTCAAAAAATGCGTCGCTCTTTTTTATATTAAATTATATTTTATTTATTTTTTTTTTTTAGATAAAATTTTCATTTCGCTTTTATTTTTGCATATGTTGGATTACTTCTGTTTTACATATTTTTAGACTCGGTCCACTAAATTAAAAAAAAAAAAAAAAAAAAAAAACGTTTTTTAAGCTTTTTTTGCTTGTTTATGTTTATTATGTTACACTTTTATGTTTGCAAAGTTTGAATATTGTCTTCTTATTTCCAGTTTTGAATTGAAAAATTTGCATATTGTTTTGTTTTTTCAAGTGTTGGATTAGTATTTTTGCAAGTTTTGTTTTTAAGACTCGATCTACTCAATTTTTTAATAATTCTCTATTATTTTGCAATCGTTTTGAATTTCTCTCTCTTTTTTGATGCTATAATTTTTGCATAACTTACTTCGGCCTGTAATTTTTGGACTCCGCCGACTAAAATTTAAAAATTTATATTAGATTTTTAACCTCTTTTTCTTGTTTATGATTTATGCTTTTATTTTTTAACCCGGCTTGTATGTTTCCAAAATTTGCATTTTGTTTTGTTTTTCCAAATATATGCAAACTTTTTAATTCAAATTAAAAAGTTTGCCTATAGTTTCGTTTTTACAAGTGTTGGATTATTATTTTTGCCATTTTTGTTTTTTTACTCTATCTACCCAATTTTTTAAAAGTTTAGATAGTATTTCGCGATCGTTTTCAATTTGTTTCCTTTTTGATGCTGCAGTTTTAGCATTGCTTACTTTGACCTGTAGAGGTTTGACTGATAGACACAGATTACTTTGATTGTTTTCCTAAGGGTTATTGTTTTTCTAAAAAATATTTTAAAATTTTAATTTGTGTCCTTGTCAGTTCAGAAGTAGGCTATTTTATTTATTTACTTCTTTCATAGAAGCAACCCCTGATGACGATGCAGCCAAAGATGTAAACATGACTTTTCATTTTTTGTTTTTGGTATGTTTTGCTGCACTTTTTCTTGAGGTTTGCCAATGTGCTTTTTTTCTTTTTTTTAAGTTTATTTATATGCTTTATCCCGAAATGAATATGGAATGGATTCTAAATGTATTTATTAATTTTTTTTATTTGCATTATTGCCATCAGCGCACAACTGGATTGGGTTTTGAAATATTTTTTACTTTGTATTCATTTCTTTTGTATATATATATATATATATATATATATGTATATATATATGTACACTTACTTGCATAGAATAATGCCGTCTCTGAGAATTTCTTCGTAAGGTCCATTAGGTAAAGGCTCTCCTAAAATTTCTTGTATCCATTCCAATACTTCCGCTTCTAACTGCTTGTCCCGCTTAGCGGCTATCTGAAAGGAAATTTAACAGTAATTACAAGTCATAAAGTATGAAATGAATAATAATACAATCGAAAACCAAACATTTCCAAAATAATTTAAGTTATCTAAAATATCCGATTTTTATGTCTCATATTTTTTTTTCTTTTATTTCAGTTTCTGTAAGAAGTATTCAAAATAAAATTTTTCTCTTATGATACTTTCAGACTGAGAATGCTTGTGTATCGATAAGTTTAGTTTTATAATATTTTATTTTTCTCTTGTTTGGCCTTTAATTAACCAATGTACTTAATTTATTAATATTTCAAACATTCAAATCATAGATAATATTTTATTTATTTATGCATGCTTACAAAGCAGGTAACTTTCACCCTGTCATGAGAGAATTGCCTGTTTTTGTGAAAGACGAAGTGTAGATGTGAGTATGCGTAAACAGAAACCACGACTGCATTTCTGCAGAGAATAAATATCACGAAGAAAGAAAACGTTTCAACTGTTTTATTTATTACGACATTTGTAGGTGAAACAACTGTATCATAATTGCTTGCTTTAAATATTTAGCATCTTTTAATTAGTTTTTATAACGAAAACTATAAGATTAAATGCGCTGAAATTTTCCTAATACTTATAAAATCCTAGCATATTTTTATTAAAACCTTCATTTAAGTATAGTTTGAATTTCATAAAACAATAAAAATTCAAGCACTAAATAACTAAATAAGTAACTCAACCATCAAATGACTTTATTTATTGCAATGTGAAGAATGCTGCCATTTCATTGAGAAAGATTAGTTTCTAAGGATTATGTTAATTTTATTAAAAGTTAAATTTTGAGTTAAACTTCCTTTCCTATCAATTCTTAATTTCAACTTACCACTTCCGGTCAAAACGTAGTTTTTGTCTTAGTGAGAGAGATACTAGATATTCTGGCTGCACGCGTCCGCCTTTTTAGGCTACTCTCTCGTAAGCTATTTTTACGCTCGGCCCTACTTTAAGCTCTTGATAGCTTCTCAGTCAATTAACGTTAAGAGGCCAACTCTGTTAGAATTCTTGATAGCTTCGGCTATATTCTTTAGTTAAGATTAGTTTAGTTTAATTCTTAGTCTCTTAAGTTCAACCCTAAGTGTCGGCTTTATTGTACAACTCCAAGACGGAGTTCTGTTAAACTTTAATTGGAATAATAAAGGGTTTTTTCACCCTTTTTATTTGTTGTTTCCTGCACACGAACTCAAGCGATTATTCGCTTATTTATTCTTAAGATTATTCACTTTCAACTGCAACTTAGAATTACACAGTGGGGAATCCTACAAGTTTTAATATTAGCTACAAGACAGTATATGAATGAACGCACTGCAGATGTTCAATTTGGGTTATTTACATGTAATCAAATCGTTATGCTTTATTTTCAGTTTATTTTTTACGAAGTTGTAAGGATAACAACAACATTTTTAAAAAAAAGTAATGACATTATTGTTATGTTAAAATAAAAATTTTGTTTAGACATAATGACTTTATTTTATTTAGTTATTTATTTTAATGTTTTAAACAGCAATTTAATAATACGATGGATTTCATCTGATAATTTATATTTTCTTTCCGAAGACATGCGTTCAAGCTCTCATATCAACGGCTAAAAGAAAAGTATGCTTTTATTTCTCGCTTATGATAATTGTAAATCTTGTATTGGTATTTCTGATTTTTGAGAAAGCCATGACTTGGAACGTATGAGCGTATGAAACATTGCTTTTGAATCTTACTTAAATTTATACAACATACCCCGAGCAATGAAACTTGAATAAATTATAAAATGTCTAGTGATCTTGCAACAAAGGCTGAAGCTACTTAACTATCATAACAAAAAAGCATGACCACATTTTACCAGAGGTTTCCATGGTTCTTGCACCTTTTGCATTCTAGAATCAACCTCCTGTTGCTCTTTGTTTTCTGGAGTCGTCAAGGGCGTTATCAACATAAACTTTCTTAAGAACCTGAATCACAGCTGGCGCAACGTGACATATAATTAACAAAACCAACACAAAGAAGTGGGATGAGCAAAAACATTGAAGTGAAATATACCAGTATGCAAGAAAAGATTATCCCTTCATATACTTCGTAATACCCAATAAGGACTCTGTTACTTTTCGGAAGCCCTTTTTCGGCAGCTTGCAACTAGATTAACACAATTTATCGTTACTGACCGAGTTACCGAATTAACGCATATTTCCACATTTCTGACCATATTAATTAAACTCCATATGAAGGTTATTTGAAATTAATACTACAAGAATCTCGAAATAAGTCGTGTTTAATATACCAAGATATATTTAGACAATTGCTAAGCTTGCTGTATTTCTGGTGGCCCAGGACGAAACTTAAGCTGGACCTCAATATACAGAATTTAGTGTCTAGATATATTTAATAAGTTTTATGGTTACGAGGCGTATTCGGAAACTAAGTACCGTTTTGAAAAAAAAAAGTAAAACAATTTTTTCGAATCCAATTTTATTTTTACATGAAAATACATGTCTTAAACTATTTTTCAACATAGTTTCCGCCAATGATCAAACACTTGTCATAGCGGGTGACCAGTTTTGTATACCATCGTCAAAGAAACTTCCCGCCAGTTTCGATAACCCCGACTCCACAGCATTTTTCGTATCATCGTCAGATCCAAAGCGCTTGCCACCAAGCTCGCGCTTCATGTGCAGGAACAAGTGATAGTCGGACTGCGCCAAGTCTGGGCTGCACGGCGGGTGATCGAACTGCTCCCAATGAAATTGTCGAATTAACGATTGAGTGACACCAGCAGTATGGGGCCGAGCATTGTCATGGAGCAACACAATTCCTTTACTGAGCATTCCTCTTCGTTTGTTTGAATGGCACGCCTTAGTTTTGTTAAAGTCTCACAATATCGTGCCGCATTAATGGTTTCACCTTTGGGAAGAAATCCAGTAAGCAAAACGCCTTTCCTATCCCAGAAGATAGTGCACATGATTTTTTGTGATGATATTGTCACTTTGAACTTTTGTTTTTTCGGAGAATGAGTGTGTCTCCACTCCATCGATTGTTGTTTCGATTCTGGTGTGAAATGACACACCCAAGTTTCATCACCTGTACCAATTTGGTTTAAAAAGTTTTCTCCCTCATCACTGTACCGCGTGAGAAATGTCAGGGCACTACCAAGTCGCTTTGTTTTGTGAACATCAGTGAGCATTTTTGGAACCCATTCGGGAACACAGTTTGGAATAATTCAAGCGGTCAGACACAATTTCGAATAAAACAGTACGTGAAATTTATGGAAATGCCTCTGAAAGAGTTGTCATTGTGAAGCGTCTTTTCTCATGAATTGCTTCATCAACTTTCCTTACCAAATTATCGGTGACAACAGAAGGCCGACCACTCCGAGCCTCGGCGTGGACATTTGCTCGACCTGCATTAAACATTCTTACTCACTTTCTCACCATTCCATCACATCAAAAATGTGTCGCGTATTCACCGTAAACTTCTATCACTTGACGATAAATTTCGGCCGGTTTAACATTCCTCGCGTTCAAAAATTTAATCACGGCACGAATCTCACAGTCAGCGGGAGAACGAATTGTCTTAAACATTTTGAATGTGCACAGCAAACTGAAAACACAACGTAGAGCAACCAAAATGGCGACAATTGAAAGTCAGTGAACAAGAAAGACTAGTGCGCATGCGCGGGACGCCTACCACAGCACTGCGACGGCGCTAGAATGAAACGGCACTTAGTTTCCGAATACGCTACGTAAATCTTAAAATAGGCGTAAAATTTTCCAAATCCGTTTGGAGCATTCTCTCAAAAACCGATCTGCCTCATACCCCACAGTTTCGACTTTGATTACTTTAACGTAGCTTTAGATTTGATTTTCGGAAAGTGAAAATAGTGATATAACAAACAAGAATTGTTTAAGCGCCGAGAAAATGGCTCGCGAATGCGTAAAATATGATCATAATAATTATTCATTATATCGAAAAGAAAATGAGGTACCCATTTCTATCTGCAGCAGACAAAAACAAAGAGCACAAATATTTTTTTTCTACTAAATTATTCTAACAATAAACAAATAAGGACGTTCTAAGTTTACGGAATTCCGTAGTAATAAGTTGCGAGAGTTCCCGAAGAGGTACGAAATCACACATACTAGATGCGCTATATAAAAGGGAACTTCATGATACATGGATAAATAAGAAAGAACTGAGAGAGATGGAAGAAATTATGTTTCTGCACTGAGCAATATAATGCGCTTGTGAAGGGAGAGTAAAATTTAAAATATTTTTTTCCTCCAAATTAAGTCATGAAAAACGTTATGTGGTTAATCAGATACTGGTAAGAATAGAGTGAATGCTCGGAGCAGAGTAAAGGCAAATTTTAAAGAACTGTGAGCTCAAAAGCAATAAAAAATGTGTCAAACATGTGTGCATTCTGACCAGGTCAGTGCAAAGGTGTTCAGTGACTGCTTGCAAATTATAAAAAAGTGCCTTTCGTGATTAGCCCTTTTATTTTAATTTTCCATTAATGATAGAAGAGAATTTTAAAGAAGAATCAAAACAACAAAACCATATTTTAAACAATAAATTTTAGTTACAAATTGCGACTGTATTTAAAAATTAGTTAAACAGTTACATATAAAAATTAGAATTAATTAAATGTTTATTTTTCTTTTTTTTAATATCTGAACTAATATATTTTTACGGTTTAGATGAACGGAAGTAGAAATGATTTCTTTCATGTCTAATTCGGCGCATAAATTATTTTCAACTACCATTAATGCAAATTTCACGAATATTTCTTATGACCTACTACTACATAACTTAGTCTTAATAAATATTAGCCAGAAAAATGACCTTTAACCGCTTGCAACATAGAACAGGCAAAGTTAATAATATTCTTAATGAAATCTACCAGAAAGAAAAAATAAATAGACGAAATTAACGGCTGAATGTCAAAAGGATTTTGAGTTTATTATTTATCTTTATAAATAATTTTGAAAGAACAT